GGCTAGGCCCGCGACTCTTAAGAGTCTGTAGATCCAGATACTGAGGGCTAGGCCGGCGACTCTGAAGGTTTCCCGGGAGCGAAACCACGCGAAAACCCAGCGGGATGGGGCGGGGCGCGAAGGCCTCATTTCTACCGCTTGGGACAAAACGGATTCTGCGCGACAATCCGGAATCCAAATTCTCAGGGAAGGAAAACCCAAAACCCAGGAAACATAGCTAGACTTCCAAGGGGGCTCTCAGGCCTCTGAACTTTCCAGCAAGCCTAGTATCCCCGGGAGCCAAGCCCGGGACTGCTTCCCTGGGAGACACACATCTCGCCTCGCTGAGTCCCGCGCGCAACCACCGAGCCGGGAGACCCCAGAGAGAGAGAGCCTACAGCTTTCATGCTCGCTTTCCAGAGGCCTTAATTCTGACAAGAGTCCCAGGAAGAGCAGGCAGAACCCGAAGACACCGTCACCACAAGCTGAAAGCGAAAGAGACACAACGCCCATCTGAGGTGCCCGATGTCTTTATGCCAGAGGGGATGGGCACCCTACTTCGGGTGCTGCGTCGGGGAGAGACTGAGAGCTGCCGTGTTTTGCAGGGGTAGAGAATGGCGTTAGGGAAGTAAACAGTTTTGGAGGTCCCAAGTGACTCCCGAGGGCAGCGCCTTGCAAACAGCAGGACTCACACTTTAAGAAAGCATGATTCTTCTACTCACAGAGGAGCTGGGAACTGGCCAGGAAGGCTGTGTGGCACCGCCCCACCAGAGATCAGTTGCGGGTTGAGGGGTTGTCGTCTGAGCCAGGTGGGACTCTCCCTGTGGTCTCGCACAAGTTCAGAGTTGCCTACTTTGAGGAGCCAAGAACTCGGCCCAGCCAAGGGCATCTGTCAGGCATCAGTCCAGGACATCAGGACTCCTGTTTCTAACACCCCTCGCCCACCCTCCCACCTCACCCCCTCGCCCAACACACACACACACACACACACACACACACACACACACAGGAGCACCATCCCTGGCCAGAAGACTCCTCAGAGGTGTTATGAAGGTCATACGTTTAGAAGGTACACAAGTACTTGACCTTGGAGAACTGGTCCCTAGAGACCTCCATTTCCTAAAGACCTTCTTAGCTCATATGGGCTTGTGGTCTTGGGGCAAAGTGCTTCATTACTGAACTTTCTGGTCATGTTTGGGGAAAGCTAAACATGGCCCAGAACATAGGGAAGGGTGAGGATCAAGTGAAACCCACTTTTCCAATAAGAGAATCTCATCAGCCCAGTTGCATGTCTAGGCATTTCTCCCTGAGGCAGTTCCTGCAGATGTCAGCAGCCAGCCCTGTTCCTGGAGAAGATAGCCTCTGTTTGGGTCTTATCACCTAACTAGGAACAGATTTAATAATAATCATACACCCTTTCCTAAACCTACTTGGAATTTAAATGCATTACATCCTCTTTTTTGCTACCTTGATATCAGCTGGCAATGGCCTCCTCTCAAGTCTCAGACCATATTCTAATAGAATCAAATAATTTTACTTGAGGTAATTTTGCAAACTTCTCTATGTAAACAAAGAAAAAGTTAGGAGAAGGGATGAGTTCAGTTGTTTGGTTTTCAGAAAAATAGCTTGGAGCTACAGACTGACAAATGTTATTGGTAATTAGATAAGGGATGCTGATTGGTTATAAGGGAATTTCTGAGCCCAGGTGCATTGTTTAAAGAGCTATAGGTACCTTTTTGGTTTGTGTGTTTGTTTGCTTGCTTGTTTGGGCTGAGGAGGAAAAAGAGAGATTAAAAAGCTAAACATAAATGTTAGGGTTTTTTACTTAATTGCAATAGGAGATATCCCTGGAGATATCCATCAATTGGTTATTTTAACATGAATTTAGGAGTATAAGTGTACTTAAAAGTTTAGAAAATCTCTTCTTAAAATTGGCATATAATGCTGCGATTGGGGACTGGAAGATGGAAGTTTGGAGCTTGCTCATGGGCTAGGCATTCGTGTAGGTGTAGATCTCACAATGCTAACCTGTCTTCACATGGAAATACTTCAGATTAAGGACAGGCCTTTAGATCTTCCTATTTGCTAAGGTGCATTTAAGTGATAGCAAGGCCTAAGCAAGCATTCAGCCTCTATTGGCACTCACTCCATGCCTAAGCAACCCCCCCCACCCCGCGCCAAAAAACCCCCAAACCCTGCTAGTGTGAAGTCATCTCATTTGTAGTCATGTGTTCTCAGCATTATCCTGGAGGTTATTCACTTATACTGGGAACTAGATTATGATGTCAGAAAATATCCTTTTCAGAAAGGCTAAAAGTCAGGGTCCTGAGTATATATTGAGGAGAATTTCTACTCAAGGTAATAAACAGGGCAGCTTAGCACATATAACTGCTTTCTAATAATTGCCTTTAGTGAGAACAGAAGAGCCTTCTTAGGAAGTTTTTAATTCATTTAAGACTTAATTTTAGTTTTCTGAGGAACATCAACAAAAATTATTTCTGGAAGAGACCGCTGAGAAGATTCCCTTCATTTGGCCAGAAGAGCAGAGAAGACTGTAAATCAAGGAAAAGGTGAAGTAATACATTATTAGGAAGCTTCAGGAGTCCAAGTATATAAAGACTATTTATTTTTCCTGTGTCCATATTTTCTCTTTTTGTGGAGGAAAGGAAATTCTAAAAATATTGGATAGATTTTTTGCCATTAACATCAGAAAAGTGTGTGGGGAAAAGAAAGGGAGGGGGTCCATTTTGTTTCATTAGTAGAAAAAGCAACATAAATCAAAGTAGTCTATTGATGGCAGCCTCTAATTTATAATGTTCTGAGAGAATAATGAATTTATTTACAGCATAAGTGATTTGATATTTTCAACCTATGTCTTAAACTTTTATTGGGAGAGGGTTGACTTTTTAAAGCCTGGGTAGTTTGAAATTTGGCTAAGTACTTTTGGGCTTTTTATTGTGGAAGCAAATATTATCATTTTAATATTAAACAACTTGCAAGTGTTAAATAGATCATTTGTGATTTACTTTTTTTGTTTTGTTTTGTTTACAGATTTTCCCCCTTCAGATCTAACGCTTGCTTTAAGGCTCCGGCTTCTTTTTGGAAAGAATTTATTATAAATCAGAAAGTGTCAGAGGTTCAAAGATTGACATTTCTGAGTGCTGATACTTTGTCTTTTCATGCCATGCAAATAGATCTAACATTTAGAAATTCTTAAACGAGGGAAATTGTGGAAATTCCCAGATTTTTTTTTTCCAGTGGGAGGAAGCCAAGTTTTTTTAAGTATGGAGTTTAGAGTAAGCAAATGAGGGAGAAAGAAACTTGTGAGAAGGGGTGACTGTCACCCAAACTAAGGAGCTAATATTAACTGCTAGCTATCTGCACTTAACGAGGGGGAAAGGGAACCGAGATCAGCGAGGGAGAGGGCGCTATTTCACCCACCCTCGGTAAAATCCGCGGTGCATCAGACAGGAAGCCAGACTTGATAAAAGGTCAGGCTCCCTAAATCACCTCACATCTCCAAATCACACAGCGCATTGAAACGTACCAGTGGGGTTGTCTGTCTAGAAGACAAACATCCCTTGAATGGTTCCCAACTACCCGCGTTCATTTCAGAAAGATAGAGGAATCCGTGGGGCGGGCGTTCACATCCGCTGCAATCCTTTCCTAGATGATACTGCCCTGTAATTCAGAGCAGTCTTCTTCCCCGCCCAGTACTTTTGGGAAGAACCCCCTGCTTTCCCTTCGCTTCTCCGAGGCAGAGCCGCGTACAGCGATAGTTCCGCTTCATCTGCGGGCTGAAGCGACACGGATAGAGTCATCCCAGAATATGTAACAGGGGATTGGGCGGGGGATGGGGTGGGGTGGGGGTGAGAGAGTAGGTTGTCGGGAAAGGGTGGGTTAGAGTCTAGTCGGTGAGCGAAGGGGCCGCGTGCGCTCCCCAGGAGTGTCGGTCCACCTCGGCAATTAAAAAGAGGGTCTCCATCACGTATTCGGGTTTTCTTGGACCAGCTCCAGATGTCCTCAGTTATTCTAAGACAGCAAGAAATGCAATCTCGACCTGAAGTCTGGAACCTTTTTTACTCTTCTAAGCGAACGCTCCCCCCACCCCCGCCTTAGGCGATGCTCCCCACTCAGCGGGTCCCCGGAAAGGGCCATGGAGGAGGGTTCCCGTGTCGCTCCCCAAGCTCCCGGGCGGCCTTAGGGTTCCTTAAAGCCAAGGGCCAACCTCCCGCGACCTCCCCGCGGAGAATTCCGGGCGCCCACGCTCTCCAGCCCCTTACTCCTCGGCCTCCGCCTTGCCGGTTCGCCCCCAGCGGCCTCGGCGGCCGCGCGTCTAGTCGGGCGCGGCTGGCGTGACGCGCCGGGAGCGGTGACTGTTTCGGGTCGCCCGCACGCCCTCGGGGACCTCAGCGCGCTTCTCCGCCGTGCAGTCTGGGGCCGGTCAGACCCAGCGGGAACTGGCAGATCCGCCCACGCCCCCGGTCCCCGGGATGGCGCGCGGGACCGGCGCTCTGGGGTGGGGCTCGGGGGACCTCCGGGCAGCGCCGGGGGCCGCCGAACCGGAGGCGCGGGGAGCTCAGCCGCTCGCAGTACACTCCCAGCTCAGAGCTCCCCTCTGCTAGCTCCGGCCGCCCGTCGCCGCCCCCGCCCCCCGCGCGCCCGCGCCCTTGCTCGCCCCGCGCGCGTTCCAAGGGCGCCACCTCTTTGCGACTAGCTCACTTCTCCGGCAGGTTTGCCTGGGAGCGTGTGAACATTCCTCTGCTAGGCTTTCAACTCGCCTCCAACCTGCGCCGCCCGGCCAGCATGCCTCCCCGCCCGTGAAGCGGGGCCGCCGCTGCCCTGCCGCTCGGGCCGCCGCCTCCCCTCCGCGCCGCTATTAACCCGCCCTCGTTGCCACCTGGCCCTTCTGATCGACGACACACGCACTTGAAACTTGTTCTCAGGGTGTGTGGAATCAACTTTCCGGAAGCAACCAGCCCACCAGAGGAGGTAGACAGACAGCTATGTATATATATGTGGGTCTCTACAAGTGGCTCTGGAACAAGACGGCCTAGTTCGCAAAGAAGCTGACTTCAGAGGAGGGAAACTTTCTTCTCTTTTTAGGAAGGGCTTAGCTCTGCTCCACGAACCTGGGAGAACTGCCGGCTAGATTTAATTAGACATTGATAGGGAAGACGTGTAAACACGCTGCTCATCATTGATGCATATATAAAAGCATTTCATTGTGGTTATCATTGCAGAGGAACGTCTCTGATTTTTGTTTTGTTTTGTTTTCCTTTTGGTCCCTTTTTGCCTGTGTGGTTTTGGAAAAAGCACAGTTGCAGTAGCTGATTCCTAAATAAGTAAGTGCTGAGAGGCTTCAGAGAAAGTTTTTTTTTTCTTTCTTTCTTTCTTTTCTTTGCAACTTGGGAGATGCCCTTGGTGTCGAAGAGGCTAAGTGAGAGCCAGCTAAAACCGGGAGCGTGGTAGTCCCGGGAGATGGAGATTCCGGACTGACACTTCGGGCCCCTTTCCACTCTTGCAGGTCCCGAGAGCGAGAGGATACGATGCTGCGGAGGCTGGTTCAGCAGTGGAGCGTCGCGGTGTTCCTCCTGAGCTACTCGGTGCCCTCCTGCGGGCGCTCGGTGGAGGAGCTCGGCCGCCGGCTGTAAGTGCCCCGTCCTCCTCGGGGCGCCGGGTGAGGGCTGGGAGGGCCAGTGGGAGAGGCCGCCAGGCTGGGGCGCTGCCGAGGGCTCGCAGCGGTCACTGATGCTCCTTGCCCGAGTTAAAAAGCAGGGAAAGCCGGCTACCTGCCGGGGGCTGAGACAGTGCCTATAATCCCGGCGGGAGCACTGACTGAACCTCAAGGGGAGACAGGCAAGAGACAAACCTTCCATGAGTTTCCGTAAGAGGAGCGCAGAATCTCCTCTGGACAAAGATCATCTATCTGTAGTGAAAGGAAAAGGTTATACTTCCAGGACCTGAGAAGGTTTTGAAACGCTGAGGATTACAGGAGACGGATAACTCAGAAGCTGAGGGAGCCAGGGGACACAGGTCTGTGTGCGTTTGATTTACAGACTGAATGTGGGTGGCAGTTTGTGTGTGAAAAGCAGAAGCCTTACATCTAACTTTATTATGAATGACATAATTTTGAGCATATGAAATGAACCACATTACATAATGAAAGCATATTATATAATAAAGTAGTAACAACTTTGCAATGGCACAACTCCAACGTTAGTATTGATACAGTTCAGGAACGCTAGAGTGCCTGACTCCAAAATGAATATTTAGGTGAGGAAAATTGTTTTTTCTTGGACTTACTGCTAACAGTTCTTTAATCTGGAGTCAAATGTTTGTATTGTAGACCGAAAACTTGTGTTTTGGCATTCTCATTTGGTGGTTCTTTTAAGGATAATTTTGACTTTAACATAATCATACATCCAAGCACACCAGAGAAATATTACCATGTTGTATGATTGCAAGTTGGAAGAGCAGCTGAGTAACACTATCTTAATAATCTGTTGGACCTAGAAGTACCTTAATGTGTGTAATGCCATCTTTGGGTGATTTTTAAGCTGCAGACTCTGTTCAGGATGGGAAAACCATAAAGATTGAGAACTGAGAGGAGTTTCCCTCTGGAGAAGGAATTAAGGGGTTTTTACACTAACAATAAAAATAGCAATATCCAATATTTACAATGGAGTTCATGGTGCTTCCTTGTAAATTCCCGAGGGTGTACAAAAAGGCAACTGTTTTATATGTGCCCTTGGTCTATTATTATTAGAGCAGAAAATCCTTAAATGAAATTACTTTAGACATGTCTGAACCTTGGCACCAAAATGAAAATCTATTACGAATCTCCTAAGGCAAATTGTGTAGAACATTGTACTGAAGATAAAGCTGCATTGTATTCTTCAAATTAACATTTTACTGATGTATTTCTGAAAATTGTCTTCAGACGTTTTCCTCTTTTTAAGGCTTGTGTTAAATTATTTAAAGTCCATATATATATATATATAGATAGATAGATAGATATAGATATAGATATAGATGAAGAGTGAATTTTTAAAAGCACGCTTAAATACTGGCCAAGAAATACTGTCTTGAAACAGAGCCATATTTCTCTTTACAGTTGCTTGAGAAATACCTGTTTTCTCTTTTGAGAAACAGTAAATGGACCATGATTAAATCCACAGTTATGACATAAAAATAGTGCTAAGTAGTCCTAAAGGCTATTTTTAACTCTTTCTTTGTTGCACCTTGCAAAATACACATCAGAAACCATTTAACAGCCAGCGACTCTGTTATAGTTTTGTTTGTGGGTGAAATATAATATTGTAGTTAAACACTCACACTCAGCAGATGGTTATAAAACTACCACAAAACATTCTTATAGTTAATGGCTAATAGATCATCATATTACAGCCATGGTTTTTCCTGAAGGCTGAAATCATCAGTAGATGAAGATGTTTCATCAAATTATTACAGCCAAATGGAGTTTAAAAAAACAAGTCATTACTTTTGCATTGCTGCCAAGTAACAGTAAATTTTGCGTGCTAGACAAAACATTAGTCTACTATTACACTAAATCAACCTAATTTCTTGAAAGAAATGTTAACATATAATCAAATCATATTACTCCCCAATTACTTTTCACACCAAGTATTAGAGAAATTGCTTTAGATATTTTTTCTAACTAGGGACTGACTTTGAGGAGTGGTGGGGGTACTACTACAACAATAACACTTCCTAAGCCATGCAGAGGAGGCAGTTATAAGTTGTGATAGTCCAGAAGATTTTAGCTAATGGGGCTAGAGCATGAATAAATTGGAGGTTGGAAAGTGAGGCCTATAGACATTCTTGTCCCAATGAACATGACTTTCAGCAGGTAGCAACCTTTGTGTTTAAGTTAAAGAGGGAATTCCAGTAGATTCAGAACCTAAAACATAATTGGCTGATTTGCTTGGGAGCCAGACTGGGTCTATTCCATTTAATGAAAAGCATAACTTTTGACTGAGTCATTTGAGTTGGAAGGGACTTGTGGTGAGTCATCTTCACTCTAACACCCGAACCCTGACTCGTGCATGTACCACAGAACTTTTGTCCTCAAACCCAGACTCCTTCGTAAATAGCTGAGCCTCAACACAAGCCTGCTGCTCCTTTCTGTGCTGGAAGAGGCAGTCCCATCACTCCCTTTGCTCCCTGCGTTCCTTGATAGCTCCTTCAATTTTCTCTTCTTCCCTGAAAACTCCCTGGAGAGTGATTTTTCTTTAGAGCAGAAGAGCTATGTTTTGACTAAATTTATAGTAACCTATCTTAAGCATTTCTCCCATATTTCTGAAAAATTTTTTACAGTAATCAAAGGAGACCATAAACATACCATATTAGGATTGTAACAAACGCCGTGCAAACCACTGGGCTAGGGGATGTTTGCAGATGTATAGATTAATAGACTATTATTGAGGCCATATTTATCACATAAATATTTCAGAATTATCTAAATGGAAAGCCTCCTTACTTTGGATTCATTGCTCCCCACCTGTGTATATCTAGTTAGTACAAGCTAGTTATTTACCCTTGTGTCAGTTCACGTCTTGTTTTGAAAATAAGTAAAATGCTCCAGGGATCTTACTCCTTGTTGACGATAAAGATAGTATTAAATCCCTGATCTTCCAGTGCAGTTGCCCAATCAGAAATTCATTCTTCAAAATATTTTAAATGCAGAAGTCTTTGAGCTGTTCCTTGTGTTTGAGATTTAGCATTTAAGAAAATCTGTGAGATTTAGCACTTAAGAAAATCTGGGTTTTCTAATATTATGTTAACAATTGCCCCTAAAGGCAGAAAGAAGCTTGGTACCTCACAAGAGAGACGCTATTTTAAACTGAACGGACTTGTGCCATCTTTGTAAACTTTTTATAAAACAGAAGGATAGACTGACCCCTCCTTTTCTCATGAGAACCATCCTGGGAAAGTGCAGTGCTTGGGTTAAGAAGGCACTGTGACTCACAGTTGACAGGCTGGCCAAGATGACAGGCATATATGCCAGCCAGAGGGGGCATAAGCAGTGGTGGCCTGATTAGAACAGACCAACCATTAAAAGTTTTGGCTTCGAGTTAATCTAGGATGGGCTGTATTATACATTTGGAGAGGAATACAGATCGGGTGGTTATCTTCCAGGAACTGAGAAAGAAAGAAAAGCCCCAGGTCCTATAAATGATCACTGGTTAAGAACAACTTTAATGGGACATTTTGCTAAAGGATACATCTTATGAAACTGCAACACTTATGAAATATGCGATTAATTCCCACTTATTCTTCAAGAATGTTATTAGAGAGTATAAATATATTTGTACCAAAACCTCAAATTTGTATATTATTAAAAGTTTCCAGAATACTAACTATTGCTATAAAGTAAGTGAATTTCAATCTAGTCACATGTGGCACCTTCAAAAAGGAAGAGAGACTCCTTCATGCCTCATTTAAACCAGGCTCCTGTTAAATTCCTTTCCATTAAGTCATGTCTTTTTTGAACAAGCTGCACGGCTTAAAGTCAGTCCACACACTAAAACACTAAAGGGAAGCTGGTATTCTGGGTATAAGGTCTAGAGAAATAATGCCTGTATTTTCATGTCTTATTCTACTTTGATTCACAATATGACTAGGAAATCTCTCAATTTCCCCCAGTGATAATCCAAACTCTAGAAATCCTAGTTCCTTTTTTGGGGGGATGAAAATGGCCTTGTTGGAGAAGTAAGCTTGATCTTCAAGTAAACCGATAAATTGCTATCCATTTGCCCACTGTCCTTCATGGTTCCCACTGCAAGCTTTTTACTCTTTGCCCTTCACTTCTTGTTTCAACATACACTTCTGCTTCCACAGAAGAAAGGATTGAGGTCACTGAAAGGCAATCTTTGGTCTCAGAATCAGAGGACCTGATTTTTGGATCCCTGGTTCTGTCTGTTTTCGACAAAGGCAGGTCACTGAATCTCTCTGAACCTCAACTTCCCTATCTATAAAATGAAGTTAATGCTATTTTTATTTTCATATTTCTCTGAGGAGTTAAAGAAGTTGTACTAATATAAACAAATAAGGGACCCAGATACTGTGTGAGAGAGGTAAGATGAGATGGGAGATAGCCCTGTGAAACACCCTCAGATGCTTGACCATGAACCATTTTGAAGAGTTACAGAGTGGCAGAAATTGGAGTAAAGTAAGGCACAGCTGAAGCAGGCATGATATGACTGATTCATGTATGTGATCCCTGCATATGGTTAATAATATACACAAGAATAATACAAGCATATGTGGATGGACATTTAAACAAGAGTCAGGGTGCCATCTAAAAGGATTGATGGGAAATTAGTTGATTCTCTTCCACTACATTCTCTTCCACTACACTTCATTAGAGTGTTGTTTAAACAGAAAAGCCACTTCATACTTGCTCCTAGAGACATTTTTTAAGACAAAGAGAACAAGTAGAAAAGTGAATATCTCAATTTAATACTAAGGATAATACCCTCTGAAATTCTAAATTAAAAAAAAATAACTTGATGCACGGGAAAAATAGGATGATCTCAATTTAAACACAAAGAAACCCATTTTAAAGGGACCACCCACTACTTTACAGAAAAATACACATACTCTCTATCTGACACTTGCTTTCAAATATAGGCTCTTGGTAGCCTGTACTCTACTCCTCGTATTAAAATTCAGTCTGTTAGGTAGTTCCCTAGACAGCCTCTACGGCTCACTTCATCTTCAGCTTCTGTTTGCCTTTTGTCTTAAAGCTTGCTGTTCTCTGAGATTCGGTATTATTATTTTCTTAATAGGGGATTAGTGTGTGTGTATGTGTGTGTGTGCGCGCGCGCGCGTGTGTACGTGGCTGTGCACTCGGGTGAGTACTCAAGTAAATTCAGCCTCCTTTTAATTTCACGGCTAGGACATCTGGATTTATTTTCCCAACATAAGTCTGAAAAACATGAAAAAAAGCTCGTTTTTTTCTGTCCATTGCTGAGAATTACAGAATCATAATGTTTTAAGTTGAGAAGAGAGCACAGAAATCTCCAATCTGACCCCTGCCTTTTAAATGGAGAGGGGCATGTTCTCACCAAAGCCACAGACCTAGGGAGCGGCATAAATGGGATTTGGGGCTACAGACTCTGAACTGCCCACACTTCCCTTCCCTCTCTGCTCTTTCCCTGCTCCACAAGCTTGCTGCCCTTCCAGCTTATGCTTTGAGTAATCAAAGGCCCTTCCTCTTGTCTTTGAGGTCTATACCAACAACTAAAATATTCTCCTTTTCTTCCTCTCCTGTTTTTTTTCTTAAAGCAAAAGAGCTGTGTCTGAACATCAGCTCCTTCATGACAAGGGGAAATCTATCCAAGATTTACGGCGACGATTCTTCCTTCACCACCTGATCGCAGAAATCCACACAGCTGAAATCAGAGCTACCTCGGAGGTATCCCCGAATTCCAAGCCTGCTCCCAACACAAAGAACCACCCTGTCCGATTTGGGTCTGACGATGAGGGCAGATACCTAACTCAGGAAACCAACAAGGTGGAGACATACAAAGAGCAGCCACTGAAGACACCTGGCAAGAAAAAGAAAGGCAAACCTGGAAAACGCAAGGAGCAGGAAAAAAAGAAACGGCGAACTCGGTCTGCCTGGCTAAACTCTGGCATGGCTGGGAGCGGGCGAGAAGGGGACTACGCATATGACATCTCCACGACATCGCTGGAGCTCAATTTACGGTAACTGGCTTCTGTGCCCCATAGCCTCTCTTTGGTGCTGCTCTAAGCTGTGTAGTGTCCCTTCCTTCCACCCACCATGGCTTGAACAAATCTAGAATGTCCTCCCTTTCTGTCCCTCTATCCATTGCTCCACAATTTAAAAGCTTACAAAAGCAAGACAGCTCAGCATATTATCTGCCCTCAAGTAGTATCCTCCCACCACCTAAGCACAAACGGGGCTTGGATAACCTGTTTCTCTTCCTCCACCATCGCAACCCCAACACCAATCCTTTACTACTGTACCAAAGAACTTCTCTTCTAAGTCTGGCTTCAGAAACCCAGGACCACCTTCATCATTTGCTGCAGAAGTTTATTTATTTCCCTACTCTCACACCTTGGCAAACTTTGTTGATCATTTTTGTCATTTCTTACTTTTTTTTCACTTCAGGGGTGAACACAGAAGGCATTGATATGATCTACAAACACTAAAAAACAATGCCCTATGGTAGACAATTCTGAGCCAGTCACATTTTCCATTTAATTATATTTAATTAAACCTTAAATTTATTTTCATTTAAATAAATGTTAAATATTTAAACACACACTCTCAATTTATTTAATTTAATTTAACTCTGGTTTCTACCAACCCATGAAAAAAAAAGTCATGAATTCGGAAAATTTTTAAGTTTTGACTTGGGAAGGACATAAGTTTTTCTCATATATCTATTTATCCACTGGGAAGTTGAAATAATTTTCCAGGGTATTGCAATAGGAATAATAAGACTTCACATTTACATGGCTTGTTCATTCTTGGCTCACAGATGCAGGTAGTAATGGCATTCACTGACTTTGGGGTCAGATACCTTAAGGTTCAAGTCTTGGGTCTGAACCTATTAAAGTTCACAACCTTGGGCGAATTACATAGTCTATCTAAGACTGACTTTCCTTTTCCGTGAAGTGAAGATAATAATTGTAACAACCTCATAGGGCTGGGCAAAGATTAAACAAGATGACGTGGGTTAAATGCTTGTCATAGTAAACAATAAAGTGTAACTTGTTGTTTGGGTACTTTTAGATCTAGTACTGATTGTTCTATCTATCTGGATATGTGTGTCTCCATGAGGCGAAAAAGCAGCAAATATTAACCTCATTTTATAAACCAGAAAACCAAGGTACTCCATGACTAAAGGACCTGAACAGCCCTGGGAACTGGGATAGGTAGTCCTCAGAACTGGATTTGTTTCCCCATCTCTGGATATTTGGTCTAGCACTGTGTTTAGTGCTGCCTCTTAATTCAGACATTTCCACCAACACAATCTTTTCTGTTCTTTACTTTTCAGTTTAGCTCTTCTGTGGGGTTTGAAAGAAAGAGGAAACCACACAAGGACGTGTCATATGCAACTAATGATCTCATTAATTACAATCCCTTGTTACCTCTCCAGGCCTTTCCCCTGACTAATAGAGATAGGATTACAGGGTGATGTTTCAAGGGGGAGTACGGACCTACTTAGCATCACTTCTCTCTTTGAGTTAAGTTGACAAAACTCATCATTAAATAGCTTATAAAATGATAATTATATTGGATAAATATTTCCACTTCAGTAATTAAGGAGTAATTGACACTAGAGAAACTTTTACCAGAGTGAATGACCTATTCTGGAAATATCTAATGGATCTATAATGGGTAACAAACCCTGTAAATCTTGGCCCAGAGCACATATTCAATGTATTTTAAGATAGGATCCTAACTACATATTTATAACTAATGCAAGAGCTTTATTGCCAGAACCCTTTTTTTTTTTAAGATTTTTATTTATTTATTTGACAGACAGAAATCAGAAGTAAGCAGAGAGGCAGGCAGAGAGAGGGGGAAGCAGGCTCCCCGCTTGAGCAGAGAGCCCAATGTGGTACTCGATCCCAGGACCCTGGGATCATGACCTGAGCCGAAGGCAGAGGCTTTAACCCACTGAGCCACCCAGGCGCCCCCAGAACCCATTTTTATCCATTGTTGTACTCTGTGTGTGTGTGTGTGTGTGTGTACATACATTTATTAGAATTCTGAAAACGAAAGTATACTTTTTTATGGATTTCATTTATTTAGGATTTGCAATGCTCTGAAGTATCTGGGAATTTAATGAAATTCAGCACTCATCAATTCTTATGCCCAAAGCCACCCCTATGTTAAGGGAGATCTAGTAAAAATTAGGCAGTGCCTAATCAAATCCAGACCTAGGACTAAAAGAAATAGAATGTTTCTGCTTTCTCCTTTCTGTTTCCTGGTTGTGAGGGATGTTCATGGAAAGCACTGTTTGTCTGGCAGCCGGATGTTGGCCCTCTCCCAGTACAACCCAAAAGAGGTGCAGGGAAGATCGGGGAAATTCAAGAGTGTACTGATGAGACTCAATGGGGCCATGCAAATGTTCTAATCCAAACAGAATCTTTTTGGAGTATATTTTACAGTTTCATATGCAAACGACCTTTTATTAGTGTCCTCTCTTTAGTCTCTTTGCATTATTATACAGTGATCTGATGATATGGCAAGCACGAATCTTAGTAAAATATATGTAGTATTTTTTTTAAAAGATTTTATTTATTTATTTGAGAGAGAATGAGTGAGAGAGAGCATGAGAGAGAAGAAGGTCAGAGGGAGAAGCAGACTCCCCAAAGAGCTGGGAGCCTGATGCGGGACTCGATCCTGGAAGTCCGGGATCATGACCTGAGCCGAAGGCAGTCGCCCAACCAACTGAGCCACCCAGGCGCCCTATATGTAGTATTTCTTAAGAGAAACTACTGAGCTAAAACTGTCTGGCTCCTCTCACATGAACCAGTGGGAAGTCTATAGTTCAAATGTTGGAAATCACATTTTGGAATTTTTGATGCTGTAAATGAGATGTCCAGATACAGTAGGACTCATTTAATTGAGAACATATATTTTGTCCTGGTAAATATTGACTTAGAAATAATACAAAAGTTTTCAATATTCAAAAGAGACTCTAAAGTGCTGTCACACACATGCACACACACACACACACACACACACTCACATACTTTCAGGCCATGTTATATGTTTTACTTGGCTATTCTAAAACGTGCCATTATAACAAGCAAACTGGCTGGACAAGGGGAAATATAATTAGAAGATCTTTTCCTTGGTCCTTTATTTCTTTTTTCTTTCCTTCCTTCTGAGAAAGTAATTGTTCAAAATACTCATCATCCCCTCCCTGTTTGCATTATTCTTAAGTACAATTCACTACATACTATTCGACATGAAAACATTTTAAAATTGATATAGCACACAAATTATCGAATTTTACTTACCTTTTATGTTTTCTTCATAACATACATCCATCCATCATTAAAAATGTTAATCTTAAATTATTTTCTCTGCAGTTAGGAGCTATTTTGCCATTCTAATTAAAATGATTGGTGAAGATGTCAATTTCTTAAGACAAGAAAGCATCCTAAATGTTCAACTTGCTTATCTTTCTTCAAGCTGCACGTGAAGTTCCTAACTTGTCAAAAGTTGGCTCTTCTGTGGTTTTCACCACCATATGGGTCTGCCATGTAAAACTCTGCCCACACTCTGGCTATTAATGCAATGGCACAGCAGTTGAGTTCCATTCCATAGGTGCTTCTTTTAGACACAACTGAAATAGACACACAAAGAGAAGAGAAAGGGAGAGAGAAAAGCAGAGAAAATGCTGCCAGCCCGTCTTAAAATGCTGTCACTACAATGTTTTAGAAAGGGTTGGAAGAGATGTTAATCCCAGGTGGTAATTTATTCTGTGTAATAAACACAGTAAAATACTGCTATTTTATATTTTTAAGTTAATTGATTTTTTTCCTCTAATTTAATATGGGTTTTCCCAATTTCTAATTCCAGATCAATTCCAAAAACCAGCAGAGTGAGAGACAAATAGTTCTTAGTTTTGACTTCAGAATCTAAAATCCAAAAATAGTTTCATTCATTAGTGTTTAAGGACAGCTAAAGCGATGACTGATATCATCAAGTAACCAACCAAACATACTGCTCAATTACACATCCTTCCAACATTTACTCCAAATCACACACTCTACTCTCCTAACAACCATTATCTTAGTGAGAGATTGGCCAAATGGAAACCTGAACAGAATAAGCAACCTTTGGATCACCCATGTCAGGCATCGCTGGGGAATAAGCTTTTAGCAAAGGTGTATTTGATGATGGATTGCACAACCTAGTCTTATTTCCAGACTCTCAAATGTGTCCCTTCTCTTCCCAGACTTGCCAGTTGGCAGCTTTGAAAAATTCCCCCAGGGTCTCCTTTTTCAGACAGTATATAGAATTAGAAACCAAGCCCTTGCTCTTCTTGTGCTACACTGATCATTACATCATGCTGAAGACCCTGCCCGCAGCAAAGGTTCTGGAGAATCAGGCAGATCCCACTGATACCACCTATCGGGAATATTTACAAGAAATCCCTGGAATCTTTTCCATTGTAATTCTGTATTCCTTTATTTTTTATGCCTTTTCACTTGTTAAGGAGAATTAATCTATTTTCTTTCTCCTCTTCTCTCCCTTCCTTCTCTTTTCAGGAGGCATTGAAATTTTTAGCAAAGACCTTCAGAGGACGTATTACAGGATTCTGTAATAGTGAACATATGGAAAGTATTAGAAATATTTATTGTCTGTAAATACTGTAAATGCATTGGAATAAAACCGTCTTCCCCATTGCTCTATGAAACTGCACATTGGTCATTGTGAATATTTTTTTTTTTTGCCAAGGCTAATCCAATTATTATTATCACATTTACCATAATTTATTTTGTCAACTGATGTATTTATTTTGTAAATGTATCTTGGTGCTGCTGAATTTCTCTATTTTTTGTAACATAATGCACTTTAGATATACATATCAAGTATGTTGATAAATGACACAATAAAGTGTCTCTATTTTGTGGTTGATTTTAATAATGCCTAAATATAATTATCCAAACTGATTTTCCTCTGTGCATGTAAAAATAGCAGTATTTTAAATTTGTAAAGAATGTCTAATAAAATATAATCTAAATTACATCATGACTCAGAAGGTGAATTATGTATACCCTTTAAAATTTCTACTAGAAGGAACATAATGTAATATTTTTAACTGTATTTGAATATAGCCGTAAGTATAATATGTTTATATTGGTACATATTCCAACATTTTCATATTAGCTTTTAGTTAAAAACCACTTAAAATGTATTTTGTCCAATATTTAAGTTCAATTCAATAGAATGGCTGAACTACTTAGACATCCTTTTATGAAGTATGTCCAATTTGAAGTGAAGACGGAAGAGAGCAGAAAAAAGGCAGAGAAGTCAGGAGAAAAGATTAAAGAAACTCAGTCCAGAGAGTTAGCCAGATTTGAGAAAACGAAGAGAGGCAGATCAGGAACCTTAAGGCCAGGGGTAATTTCTACCAATGTAAAATTTAATTTGAAAGATCTTGCTCTTACTGGAAGACAAGAAGCATAAAAGAGCTACTGAGAATTTTACCAGGGAAAGGGATCGAGTGGGAAATATATATCAGCTCAAAAAAAACCTTCCCTGAAGAAGACTGCTTTCCTGTTGTATCACTCAGGGTTCCAGGGACTTGGGTTGCTAAGTAGCATGGTGTGACGCCATATGTAATCACCTTTCCACTATGAGTATCATCCTACTTGTTCCACCTCTGTGTTCAGATGAAAATAGACTTTCTTCTACAGAATTTTTTCTTTAACTGTCCACAGCTCAGGACCCACCCATCGTAAAACAATACAACAAAACAGAAAGTCTGTGAATCAAGCAAGCACATATTTAGGAAGTATTCTGTTTATACTCCCAATCCTATTAGATATCTATTACATGTTTGGAAGATGCACAAGAAGTAAAATACCATAACTGCCCCGAGACTCTCTCATCCTAGTCGGTAGATTATACATACATTTATAAGAAACAACTAAATGCTGGATACATGATCCAAAATTCTATGAACATTTTAAAAAGGAAATACACACAAAGGGAGAGATTGGTCAGAGCTCTATGTGATTAGAATAAATACTAAATTTTATTAAATTTAAATATTTAAAACATTGAGAATTTTTCTGTATTTACCAAGCAAGAACAAAGGGAGTCAATCTTCTTAAAATTCAAAAAGTTCCTTCTAGTCATATACTAATGGACCCAACAAGAGCAAAGTCAAGTAGAACTTCAATTGTATCTTATAGTCCATTCATTAAATACTGAAATATGGTTTAATAGATGCTCATTAGTGGTTCAAGAACACAAGTTAATGCCTTTTGTAAGAAATTAGAAAATATGTACACCATCACAGGGTGTTACCTTTAGGATAATCTTGAGTTTAATTCTAGAGCTTAATTCTCAAACTGTAAGATACAGTTTAATTGTTATTTTTCCCTTTGACCACAAAGTCCACAGAAAAATACAATCAGCTCTGGGCAGAAATAATGTGTTGAAGCTGAGAGGATTGATCTTCTGTAAATAGTATGTACTTTTTTTTTTTTTAATAGTATGTACTTTTATTGAGAGTTCTAAGTGTTCCCAGCAGAGCCACCATTCCTTCCTCAAACAAAGCGTCAGAGACATTCCAATCACAAATGTCTGCCACTTCCCTTTATTTAATAACCCAGCAGGTGTTAAGAACAAGACTATTACTAAAGAGTCTACTATATAGTTAGCAAAATCCTGCTACTAGTAAGCTAGTCCAAGGACTGAACATGCCAGAGGAGGTATTAAACACTGGTAGCTACAAAGATTCCAAAGACTAAAGGTATTACTTCAGTGAATTATATATTATGGGTCCTGGGGTTAACTCCTAAAGAGAAATGCTATTCCTTCCAAGTTGCCAATGTGACTTCCCTAATTACTTTGTGGACTTCTTAAGGACAGGAACCTAATCATTCAACACATACTACTCAATACCAAATAATAGGATTAGTACATAGCGGGTGTTCAATAAATAATCTTTGAACAAAATTTAAAAGTTCTTTCAGCTTCCGAATGAATCAACTGAAAAGCAGAGCTGAGGAAAATGTCTGCCAGAGGTAGGAGATGGATAAGCGTTTTGAGTAGTTCAGATTCCCAGGTCATGCCATTTTCTTATTCCAGTAACAAGAAGCTTGGAGAATAACTGCTCTAAGTTGTCAACTGTTCACCAGAGTGCCCTTTGTTTTTCAGCCTCTGGTTTACTAGGAACTTTTTCAGCTCTATAAGTACAAGAAGCAAGGGTTTTTTGTTGAGTACACAGCAACCTCCCAGAGGAAGGGAGGAGAATTTTAAATATCAGGTTTTCTTCCTATGAATACACTGCACAGAAGTTACCCACAGGGCCCAGTTGTGCAAAAGAGGCACACTGCTATTTTGTCAAAAGATTAATGTACACAGTTCCCAACCAGAGCTACCCAACATCAGGATGAGAACATTCACATCTCTGTGTAAGTTCCTGATATGCTCATATTTACAACTGCAAAGCCCAAGGGATATGTTTCAAAACTGCATTTTAACTAAACTTCAAAATGTCTTCCAGAAAATGTCATTACATTTTCCTACAACCTGGAAGACATTTAAAAATTGGAATATAAAATGTGTCACGCCTGAAAAACTGGATTGTTAATGGTGACTCCTACTCCTTGCCAAATCTGCATTGCTTTGGGGTCTGAAAGATCATTCATCCATCTTCCATTAGAGCAAGGTAATTGTGGTTATAGCTTCTTGGGTTGCCATTGAAAGACTGATGGGAAGTGGCTACATTGAGTCTCATGTTCTACAAAGCATATGCAAAACAATAAGAAACCATGCCATTTTGGATCTAGTAATTCTATATTCACATTACTCTTTTTTTCATTTATCACGAGTTTTAGTAGGACCCTTGAATCAATGCATATTACAAAACAATATACTGCAGAGTTGCATCATAGATACCTACAGGTAAAAGAAACTAGAAAGCAGGAATGTTTTCTTAAGGAGGATGTGTTTCTCTTCAGATGACACAGTAAGAGATTCTAATTGCCCTGTTCCTCAAGAATTGGAAATTTTATCCCGTAACAACATTTTATGACATTATACCAACCAGAATGGTAGAAAGAATAAATTAGCCTAACACCAAGCCAACATATAACAGAGCTCATATTGTTCTTTCATGAGCTTGCACTAATCAAACTGACACTCTCTTATTTAATCCTTCCAAGCATCCCTGATACTATGTCTCCATTTTACAGATGATACAGCTTTGCATTAGAAGTCTTGCCCAAGATCATCCAGCAGCTCGCATAGCAAACAGGACTCCAAGCGGGCTTCACCTGCCCTCCCAAGTCTGTACTCCATGGGCCAGATACAAATTTTGCAGTAAAGCTTGCTTCAGAATCACCTTCTTTTAGACAAAACTATGTCTGTCTTACTTTCAGTGAGTTCAGTTAAATCACAGGTCTGACACAATCCTATTTTGTTCCATTCTCTACCTCCTCTGAGGGTATCATTTTACCAGCTTCTGTCCTTCATGGCATCTTGTAAAGCTGACTATTAGCTATATTCCACAAAACTCATTTTTAAGTGTGCCCTCTTTCTCTCAATCAAACACACACACACACACACACACACACACACACACACACACACGCCTGCAGCCAAGAAGCCCAGGTGTTTGCATAGTCCCATGAATGAGCAGCTGTTGCTTTAAAAGGAGGGAGGCAGAGGAGGGTGAGGGAGCGCTGGCTGGCAGGCGGGTGTGTAAACGTATACAGAGAACCACTTTCTGTAAGAAGGCTAAAACATATTTAAAATGGGACCACCTCAGAGATGAAATCTTTCCCCTCCTGCTACCTCTCAACCTGCTCCAAGACTCCAATATTCAGTTTTTCCAAGACTTACTCTCCCTCCCCCTACTTCCCTAGAGAATGCTGATTTTCTATGGGAACACTTGGCACATCACAGAGCGGTTCTCCTCCTTCATTTCACAGGCAGAAGTAATCTCAGCAGTTAATTATTTCCCTGGCCAACAGAGGAATGGGCCGGGCTCTGCATGCTCCTCTATCCACTGCCCACACAGGGCAAACAATGAGTGTGCCCTCATGGTTTCTTTTCAGTGGGCCTTCATCTCTAAACTGGCTTTTGGTTAGTGATTTATTTATTTTGAAATTACACGGAAAGAGAACAAGAAAATGTTTCCATTGAGATCAACTCGATTTAGGAAAGAAGAATGCCTTCGTCACAGGAGGGCGCTGTGGAGAGAATGAACAGGGCCGGACTGGATTTGGAAACCAGCCAGGGGCAAAGGTGAAGATAACAGACCAGCTCCTGAAGGTGCTGGCTTGACTTGGTTTTGAAAGCATCAGCTGCTGCCGCCTCGCCCACTTCCCTCACTCTGAAACTGCCTACCCTTTCTCATCAATTACATATTCGTCCCTTTTCGTAGCTCTCAGTCTAATTGTGAAGAATCCTGCTTGCTCAAAGATCTCATTCATTTCGTACTGAATTAGTCTTTTAAAGAGATATGCAATTAGGGGGCGCCTGGGTGGCTCAGTGGGTTAAGCCGCTGCCTTTGGCTCAGGTCATGATCTCAGAGTCCTGGGATCGAGCCCCGCATTGGGCTCTCTGCTCAGCAGGGAGCCTGCTTCCTCCTCTCTCTCCCTCTGCCTGCCTCTCTGCCTGCTTGTGATCTCTCTCTGTCAAATAAATAAATAAAATCTTTAAAAAAAAAAAAAAGAGATATGCAATTAAATATACATTTTATTGCTCAAAAGAATACACAAGTTTTAGGGTAATGGCTGCACATACTTTACTGATGCACTGAACAGTGGAGATGATATCTTTACCTTTTAGTATGTTAGTTAGACTGTTTGACCATATCGCTCCAATTGGCTATCATTCTCATTACAGTTCTCCTTGTCCCAAGGAGACAAGGAGATTCTTTTCCAAGAATCACATAGATTCGTATGCCCAAGCAATGAAGGCTACTCTAACCTAAAGGCAGATCAAATTCTATCTTCTTCTGAGGAGGACTATTATCCTGGTTGCCTGATGCTGTCCTTATAACACCT